CGCCACCGTAGCTCGATATATATATATATATATATATATATATATATATATATATATATATATATATATATATATATATATATATTTACCTTGGTAAAATTCCTCAAGAAGCAAAACATAATATATAGCAGGAGCATCAGACCAGATTTAACAGCAATATTCAAAGCACGGGTGAATGGTTGTTTTATATGTAAATTCATGTAAGAAAAAAGTAGTAACGGATTGTGTTATTTATTAATTAGACAGATTTTGATAACTTTAAACGTCATTTTTAGTGGATACCCATATCCGTGTTAACGCTCCATTTATTATAAACAGTATATTTATTCTCGTCTACAGGCCTGAATATTCAAGAAATCTCTTTCTTTAATAACATCACTCGAATATTCATATATATATATATATATATATATATATATATATATATATATATAAATGAAACAATTTTGTAAAATAAAAAATCTTTTTATTTTACAATCAACACCATCACTTGACAAGACACCAGAAGCGTTAAAACAAAATGGTTATTTTTGTAGACATGTTATAACTTACCTATGTTATAATTCTTAAATAAATATTATTCGCTCTACTTTGTATTGAGCACTTTTAAAAAAAAAGTGTTTTTGGTCACTGGAATTTCATTCCATCTATACCAACGTTTTATTCGTATATATATATATATATATATATATATATATATATATATATATATATATATATTGTCATCCACAGACAGACTATTTCGCTGTATCACAGCTCATCAGTGTGGCTAGACGTCCGGTTGCCTCTAGCTAGATCGAAACCCGACTGAATTAGCGTCAATCGGAGATTCTACCGCTAATCCGTTGACGCACGGCAGGGATGAAGGTGAATTTATTTTTAGATAAACACACAGTGACTGAGAGAACTCAATTCGATTTAACGAAGAGTCTTGCATTATTAGCCGTAATAGTCACTGTTTACAAACCCACACTTCCTCCCCAGAGAGCTCAACCGAAATAATTTTTTCAGGAGCACACACATACACACACACACACACACACACATATATATATATATATGTTTCCTCCACTGGTAGTATAATATATACAAATTTCTTTAGCAAGAAATGGGACCGGGACGACACCAGCTTGCACTGCTAGCTTTTATTATTCTTGCCAAGAAAGAAAACAATTCTCGGTATATGGAGAATATATGTGTTGCACCATTAAGTGTTAAAAATTTTACTTATCAGCATCTACAACAATTTCGGTTGTGTAAGGGATTCTTAACACCCATGTTTCTTGATAAATGCTTTCCACTCTGACTCGACCCCACCCTAAGACTTGAGTTCTAGCTACAGATTTTCATCGTTTTTTTCATTGGATGTGAATATTAGTCAAGATACTCTCCTCGTACAAAAGTACAACTTGTGCAGCTATACAACATGACAAAAGATATGAGATCCTATTTCGTACTTTTTGTAGCCAGAGGGATCATTACACGATAGATATCTGATATATGTACTGCCCTATAAGGGATTTGCGTTTCTGTCTTGGTGTATTTTAAGCAGAGATATTTCCATCTTAATAGGTGGAATCATAAATAATTACCGTTTTTGTTTAGCAAATTCATTCTTCAGAAAATAAAATAATATAATTATCATTTTATTCAACTATAACTTCACCGTTATTTGCAATGACTTGCTGCCACTTATCAGAGAGCTTTTCGATACCGTTTCAGATACGTTTTCATGTGAAAAAAGTTTTTGCCGAACTCTCGAATCTGGTTTTCATTAGAGAAAGTTTTCTCCATCAAAACATTTTGCAGGAATGAAAAAAGTAATAATCAGTTGGTGCAAGGTTAGCTGAATAATTTGTATATTTTTTTCTCTTGCATCTTTTTCTTTGTTTCTCTGTTTTGGTGTTGGGAATAATGTTCTGGCACGTGATCTTATTTTAGTCTTGTTGGTGATAATGTGGTTGTTGGTAGCACAGAAGCAATTTGTTTTCCTCTCTGCATTTGAAAATGATTTCTGATCGTTTGTTTAGCAGTTTATCATGTTCTGGAAGGGTAATTATCGTTATTTTCTCCTTTAGGAAAAGCTTACATTATTTTGAGGTGTTGTAAGCTGGTGCTGTTTTCCAGATTACTTTTGGCATATTTTGGTTTCTGGTTTAAAGTTACCAAAGTTAGTTATTCTTTTAAATTTATTTATAGATTTCATTTATTTGTTTATTAGCCTAGAAGCCGCCCTTAGAACGGACTTTAGGCTATCTCTTGTGGAGTGCTTTTGGGTCTTCGAATTTTTAGCTTCAACTTTCTACGTACATAAAAGTTATAAGAATTTAGAAATAATAACATTATTTTATCTTTATTCGACACCTTAATTTGGCATAATCTTTCTTTGTATACACAACCGATCTCCACACTTTGTTTACAATTATTTTGCGCGCATTTTTTTATATTCTTTTAAAATCACCATTCTTTATGATTCCTTCGTAAAAAGTCACTCTTAAAAGACATTAGCGAACACGAACTATGTAATATTTCGAATACGTCACAGTACGCATACTAGAAAAGCCTAGAAGCTTTTGCCTTCAACGTCCCAGAAAATTGAAATTATTTTATTATTAATCATAAAATTATTTTATCTTCATTCAGCACCTTAATTCGGCAAAATCTTTCTTCGTATACGCAACTGATCTTCGTAGTTTGTTTACATTTATTTTGCGCGCATTTTTTATTTTCTTTTAAAATCAACATTCTTAAATGATCCCTTCACATAAAGTCACTCTTAAAAGACATTAGCGAAACCGAACTATGTAATATTTCGAATACGTCACAGTACGCATGCTAGAAAAAGAAAGAAAAAACATATGAGCAACGTACCGTGCCCCGCTTAAGTTTTAATTATGTTTTAATTAAACGATATCAATTGCAATTGCGACGAAAAGCGAAATTCAAGTTGAACTTTTAATAAAGAATTCTTTTTTAAACCTTTCACTCTGTTCGATATTTAAATTTAATTTTAAATGAGTTATTTATTTAATTTCTAATCGCGTGTAAGTACTATAGTAGTTACAACCTGTTACTTCAGGTTGTTTATTTTTCCCCAAATCGAAAAACGGACGGAGAGACGGGCACACGTACACTGTGCTTTATTTATATAGATTTTGTATATTTCCTTTGGTTCTAAATTTTGGTATTTGAAATAAAGTTTATCAGTTTATATTGTGGTATTTTGTGTAATTCTTTCAAACATGTAAGTAGCATAGAAAGAATTTCTTTTCATGTCTGTATTTGGAAATGATTTCTGATCTTTTGTTTAGGTGTTTATCTTGTTCTGGAAGGGTAATTATCGTTATTTTCTCCTTTAGGAAAAGCTTACATTGTTTTCATGTGTATTTATAAGCTGGTGTTGTTTTCCAGAACTTTTGCAATATTTTGCTTTCTGTTTTTGAGTTGCCAAAGTTATTCTTTTAAATTTCTTTATATATTTTATTTATTTATTTTGTATATTTCCTTTGGTTCTAAAGTTTGGTATTTGAAATAAAATTTATTAGTTTATGTTGTGGGATTTTGTGTAGCCATTTCAGATATGTGGTTGTAGGTAGCATAGAAGGAATTTCTTTTTATGTCCGTATTCGCAAATAATTTCTGATCTTTTGTTTAAGAGTTTATATTTTTCTGGAAAGGTAATTATTACTATTTTCACCTCTAGCAAAAGGTTACATTGTTTTGTGGCATTATTGTAAGCTTGTGAAAACAACATGGAGAATAATAAAAACAGCAGCACCATGCAAAACATTTTGGTATCGTATAATTTATGAAATAAAAGGCAATGCTTATAAATTCTTAGCCCAACTCCAAATCTATGAAAATGGCCAAACATAAAAACTTATTTTGATTTGATTTGTTTGTTTAATGGCATATCAACTCCTTATGGGTCATTTAATGCTAAAACTTAATTTTCTTGGGAGCTTTGAAGTAATAAAAATATGATATATGTTATTCTGCTTTCACAATTGAATACATGGTAGATGATACTCAGCTTTTGTGCATATACATGTTTGTGTAGGCAAAATTACTAGACGTGGTGATGTGTGTGTTTTATGTTGTGGTCTTGTTGAAGTTATATTTTGTAATACCGTTTGATTTCTTTAAGAAATTGTAGGATATTATAAGGATTAATGTCATGAAAGTGTTCTTTCATGTGGATGGGCTGATTCTGTTTAGTGGCAGGCATATCAAACCTCTATGGGTTATTTAATGCCAGAATCTAAATATTTTAAACACAATTTTATGACTTCAATTACAGATAAAAAGTATTGTTGGTCATTTTGCTATAAAAATGTATTGTTGGTAATTCTGTTATAAAAAGTATTGCTGGTCATTTTGCTTTAAAAATGTATTGTTGGTAATTTTACTATAAATAAATATTGTTGGTAATTTTTTATATAAAAAGGTATTGCTGTTATTTTTACTATAAAAATGTATTTTTATACTTTCATAGTATTTTGTTTTTCTTTGGGATATCAGTATTTGCCCATAGCTGGGACCCTATCAGGTACTATCAACCTGGGTCAGAGTGAACCTAGGAACAACAGCAATTAAGAGGTAGTTCAATGCTCCTGAAAACCTCCAATCTCCCAATGTAATTTATTGTCAGACCCAGGGCTAAACTTTATTCTGAAATCCCGTCTTGGTTGGGACGAGAACATTTTTTGAATTCTCTTTTATATACAGGGTAACTGGTGTCAATTTGATATATGGAAGTTCAACAATGATAATAATGTATATAATATATGGAAGCCCTTTGTGGTAGTAATGTAAGCAATGTGTAAAAGTCATCAAACTTTAGATGAGGCAGGTGAATTACAGTTCGTAGTCTGCCAACTGAATCTGGTTTATGGAAAGTTATTTTGGCAAAGGAAAAACCGATGTCTTAGAAGAATTTCTTTGTAGTAAAACAAACTTGCAGGCATTTATTTTTATGTTAGAATGGTAAGTGAAGAAACAGTCAAAGAGATTGGAGAGCAACGGGAGAGACAAGTATTAGAAGGAAAAGAGAGGAGGGGGGAAAGGAGAATGCAAAAGAAATAGAGATTAGGGGTTCTAATTGATGGGACATTAACTGGAACTGAGGAGGAGGAGAATAAGAGAGAGATGGGGAGGGAAAGAGAGAAATATAAAGAAAGGGGAAAGAAAGAGTGAAATAATGAAAGAAAGAAGAGAGAAGTGAGATATGAATAAGAAAAAGGATAAGGTGAAAGGTTGAGCAAAATAATGAAAGAGAAAGAGAAATGAAAAATAAGGTAATTAATATAAGGGAGAGAGAGAGAGAGAGAGAGAGAAATAGAAAAGAAAGAATGAAATAATGAAAGAAGGAAGACAGAGGGTGGATATAAATAAGAAAAAGAAGGAATAGGAGAAAGAGTGAATAAAATAATCAAAGAGAAAGAGAGAGCAAGAATAAGGTAATGAGAGTAAAAGAAAGAAAGTGAGAGAGAAAGAATAACAAATATAAGAGAAAAAGAAAGAGTGAAATAATGAAAGAAGAAAAAGAGAGAACATACAAGAGAAAAAGGAAAGCGAAAAAAGAACATTCATCAGGAAGAGAGAAGATAATGCCACTAAGGAGGCAAACTGAGAGGGAAAGAGAATGAGAAGACTTTTAGAGGAGAGGTGAAGAGAAAGGACAATAAAAGAACATCTATCAGGAAGAGAGAAATAATGCCACTAGGAAGGGGTTACTGAGAGGGAAAGAGAATGAGAAGACTTTAGTGAGGAGAGGAAAGAAAGGACAATAAAAGAAAACATTCATCAGGAAGAGAGAAGATAATGCCACTAGGAGGCAAGGGGTTACTGAGATTAAGAGAATGAAAGTGAGGAGAGGTGAAGAGAAAGGACAATAAAAAGAACATTCAAAAGAAAAATATGCCACTAGGAAGAGAGAAGAGAAATAGGGAAAAAGAAGAAAGAGAATAAAAGAAATTCATGAGAAGAGAGAAGATAATGCCACTAGGAGGAGTTACTGAGAGGAAAGAGAAAGAGAAGACTTTAAAAGAAGAGAAAGACATAAAAGAGAAAGAAGAGAGAAGATAATGCCACTAGGAGGCAAGGGGTTAAGAGGAAAAGAGAATGAGAAGACTTTAGTGAGGAGAGGTGAAGAGAAAGGACAATAAAAGAACATTCATCAGGAAGAGAGAAGATAATGCCACTAAGAGGGAAGGGGTTTGAGAGGAAAGAGAATGAGAAGACTTTTGGGAAGTGAGAAGAGAAAGGACAATAAAAGAACATTCATCAGGAAGAGAGAAGATAATGCCACTAGGAGGAAGGGGCAAGGGTTACTGAGAGGGAAAGAGAATGAGAAGACTTTAGTGAGGAGAAGTGAAGAGAAAGGACAATAAAAGAACATTCATCAGGAAGAGAGAAGATAATGCCACTAGGAGGCAAGGGGTTACTGAGAGGGAAAGAGAATGAGAAGACTTTAGTGAGGAGAGGTGAAGAGAAAGGACAATAAAAGAACATTCATCAGGAAGAGAGAAGATAATGCCACTAGGAGGCAAGGGGTTACTGAGAGGGAAAGAGAATGAGAAGACTTTTGAGGAGAGAGGTGAAGAGAAAGGACAATAAAAGAACATTCATCAGGAAGAGAGAAGATAATGCCACTAGGAGGCAAGGGGTTACTGAGAGGAAAGAGAAGAGAAGAAGACTGAGAGGAAAGAGAATGAGAAGACTTTAAGTGAGGAGAGGTGAAGAGAAAGGACAATAAAAGAACATTCATCAGGAAGAGAGAAGATAATGCCACTAGGAGGCAAAAGGGGTTACTGAGAGTGAAAGAGAATGAGAAGACTTTAGTGGGGAGAGGTGAAGAGAAAGGACAATAAAAGAACATTCATCAGGAAGAGAGAAGATAATGCCACTAGGAGGCAAGGGGTTACTGAGAGGGAAAGAGAAAGAGAAGACTTTAGTGAGGAGAGAAGAGAAAGGACAATAAAAAGAACATTGAAGGAAAGAGAGAAATAAACTAGGAGAACATTTATGAGGAAGAAAGAGAATGAGAAGACTTTAGCCAGGAGAAGGAAGAGAAAGGACAATAAAAGAACATTCATCAGGAAGAGAGAAGATAATGAATGAGAGAGGGAGAGAGAATGAGAAGACTTTAGTGAGGAGAAGGAAGAGAAAGACAATAAAAGAACATTCATCAGGAAGAGAGAAGATAATGCCAAGGAAAGGGGTTACTGAGAGGGAGAAGTGAGAGAGAAAGAAAGGACAAAAAGAACATTCATCAGGAAGAGAGAAGATAATGCCACTAGGAGGCAAGGGGTTACTGAGAGAGGAAAAGAAGAAGAAGAAGCCACTTTAGTGAGGAGAATGAGAAGAACAAGGAGAGGTGAAGAGAAAGGACAATAAAAGAACATTCATCAGGAAGAGAGAAGATAATGCCACTAAGAGGCAAGGGGTTACAGAGAGGGAAAGAGAATGAGAAGACTTTAGTGAGGAGAGGTGAAGAGAAAGGACAATAAAAGAACATTCATCAGGAAGAGAGAAGATAATGCCACTAGGCAAAAGGGGTTACTGAGAGGGAAAGAGGAGAAATTTTAGTGAGAGAGGCGAAGAGAAAGGACAATAAAAGAACATTTTAGTGAGAGGAAGAATGCCACTAGGAGGAAGGGTTAAAGGACAAGAAAAGAAAGATTAGTGGAGGAGAGAGAAGAGAAAGGACAATAAAAGCCACATAGGAAGAGAGAAGGGCCACTAGGAGGCAAGGGGTTACTGAGAGGAAAGAGAATGAGAAGACTTTAGTGAGGAGAGGTGAAGAGAAAGGACAATAAAAGAACATTCATCAGGAAGAGAGAAGATAATGCCACTAGGAGGAAAGGGGTTACTGAGAGGGAAAGAGAATGAGAAGACTTTTAGTGAGGAGAGGTGAAGAGAAAGGACAATAAAAGAACATTCATCAGGAAGAGAGAAGATAATGCCACTAGGAGGCAAGGGGTTACTGAGAGGAAAGAGAATGAGAAGACTTTAGTGAGGAGAGGGGAAGAAGAGACAATAAAAAAAGGACAAAAAAGAACATTCATCAGGAAGAGAGAAGATAATGCCACTAGGAGGCAAGGGGAAACTGAGAGGGAAAGAGAATGAGAAGACTTTAGTGAGAGGGAGAGGTGAAGAGAAAGGACAATAAAAGAACATTCATCAGGAAGAGAGAAGATAATGCCACTAGGAGGCAAGGGGTTACTGAGAGGGAAAGAGAATGAGAAGAAAGAGAATGAAGAGAAAGGACTTCAGGAAGAGAGAAGATAATGCAACTAGGAGGGAAGGGGTTACAGAGAGAAAGGAGAAGACTTTAGTGAGGAGAGGTGAAGAGAAAGGACAATAAAAGAACATTCATCAGGAAGAGAGAAGATAATGCCACTAGGAGGCAAGGGGTTACTGAGAGGGAAAGAGAATGAGAAGACTTTAGTGAGGAGAGGTGAAGAGAAAGGACAATAAAAGAACATTCATCAGGAAGAGAGAAGATAATGCCACTAGGAGGGAAGGGGTTACTGAGAGGGAAAGAGAATGAGAAGACTTTAGTGAGGAGAAGGGAAGAGAAAGTACAGTAAAAGAACAGCTATCAGGAAGAGAGAAGATAATGCCACTAGGAGGCAAGGGGTTACTGAGAGGGAAAGAGAATGAGAAGATTTTAGTGAGGAGAGGTGAAGAGAAAGGACAATAAAAGAACATTCATCAGGAAGAGAAGAAATACTAGGAGGCAAGGGGTTACTGAGAGGAAAAGAGGGTTACTTTAGTGAGAGGGGAAGAGAAAGAGAATGAAAAGACTTTAGTGAGGAGAAGTGAAGAGGGAAAGGACAATAAAAGAACATTCATCAGGAAGAGAAAAGAAGATAAAAGAAATGCCAGAGAGAGAAGATAATGCAAAAGGCAAGGGGTTGAGAGAGGAAAGTGAATAAGAAGATTTTAGTGGGGAGAGGTGAAGAGAAAGGACAATAAAAGAACATTCATCAGGAAGAGAGAAGATAATGCCACTAGGAGGCAAGGGGTTACTGAGAGGGAAAGAGAATGAGAAGACTTTAGTGAGGAGAGGTGAAGAGAAAGGACAATAAAAGAACATTCATCAGGAAGAGAGAAGATAATGCCACTAGGAGGCAAGGGGTTACTGAGAGGGAAAGAGAATGAGAAGACTTTAGTGAGGAGAGGTGAAGAGAAAGGACAATAAAAGAACATTCATCAGGAAGAGAGAAGATAATGCCACTAGGAGGCAAGGGGTTACTGAGAGGAAAGAGAATGAGGACTTTACTGAGGAGAGGTGAAGAGAAAGGACAATAAAAGAACATTCATCAGGAAAGAGAAGATAATGAAGCAAAGGGGTTACTGAGAGGAAAGAGAATGAGAAGACTTTAGTGAGGAGAGGTGAAGAGAAAGGACAATAAAAGAACATTCATCAGGAAGAGAGAAGATAATGCCACTAGGAGGCAAGGGGTTACTGAGAGGGAAAGAAAATGAGAAGACTTTAGAAAGAGAATGAAAGGACAATAAAAGAACACTTCAGGAAGAGAGAAGATAAAAAAGGGGAGAGAGGAAAGAGAATGAGAAGACTTTAAGGAGAGGTGAAGAGAAAGAACAATAAAAGAACATTCATCAGGAAGAGAGAAGATAATGCCACTAGGAGGGAAGGGGTTACTGAGAGGGAAAGAGAATGAGAAGACTTTAGTGAGGAGAGAAGAGAAAGGACAATAAAACATTCATCAGGAAGAGAGAAGATAATGCCACTAGGGAGGCAAGGGGTTACTGAGAGGGAAAGAGAGAGAGGAGAGGTGAAGAGAAAGGACAATAAAAGAACATTCATCAGGAAGAGAGAAGATAATGCCACTAGGAGGCAAGGGGTTACTGAGAGAAAAAGAGAATGAGAAGACTTTTAGAGAGGAGGTGAAGAGAAAGGACAATAAAAGAACATTCATCAGGAAGAGAGAAGATAATGCCACTAGGAGGCAAGGGGTTACTGAGAGGGAAAGAGAATGAGAAGACTTTAGTGAGGAGAGAGAGGAAGAGAAAGGACAATAAAAGAGAAGAGAGAAGATAATGCCACTAAAAGGAAAACATTGATCAGGGAGAAGAGAAAGGAGAAAAGAACATTCATCAGGAAGAGAGAAGAGGTGAAGAAAAAGGACAAGAGGGAAAAGAACATTCAGGAGAGGGAAAGAAACAAAAAAGAAAATAAAGGAAGAGAGAAGAGGCCAAAAGGGGTTACTGAGAGAGGGAAAGAGAATGAGAAGATTTTTGAGAGAGAGGGAAGAGAAAGGACAATAAAAGAACATTCATCAGGAAGAGAGAAGAAAATGCCACTAAGGCAAAAGGGGACTGAGAGTGAAAGAGAAAGAAGAAAGGACAAGAAAAGACAATAAAAACATTCATCAGGAAGAGAGAAGATAATGCCACTAGGAGGCAAGGGGTTACTGAGAGGGAAAGAGAATGAGAAGACTTTAGTGAGGAGAGGTGAAGAGAAAGGACAATAAAAGAACATTCATCAGGAAGAGAGAAGATAATGCCACTAGGAGGCAAAGGTTACTGAGAGGGAAAGAGAATGAGAAGACTTTAGTGAGGAGAGGTGAAGAGAAAGGACAATAAAAGAACATTCATCAGGAAGAGAGAAGATAATGCCACTAGGAGGCAAGGGGTTACTGAGAGGGAAAGAGAATGAGAAGACTTTAGTGAGGAGAGGTGAAGAGAAAGGACAATAAAAGAACATTCATCAGGAAGAGAGAAGATAATGCCACTAAGAGGCAAGGGGTTACTGAGAGGGAAAGAGAATAAGAAGATTTTAGTGGGGAGAGGTGAAGAGAAAGGACAATAAAAGAACATTCATCAGGAAGAGAGAAGAAAATGCCACTAAGGAGCAAAAGGGGGTTAGAAGACTTTAGTGAGGAGAGTGAAGAGAAAGGACAAAAGATTCATCAGGAAGAGAGAAGATAAGCCACTAGGATTTTGAGAGGAAAGAGAATGAGAAGACTTTAGTGAGGAGAGGTGAAGAGAAAGGACAATAAAAGAACATTCATCAGGAAGAGAGAAGATAATGCCACTAAAAGGGGGACTGAGAGGGAAATAAAAGACTTTAGTGAGGAGAGGTGAAGAGAAAGGACAAAAGAACATTCATCAGGAAGAGAGAAGATAATGCCACTAGGAGGCAAGGGGTTACTGAGAGAGAAGAAAGAGAAGGGGAAGAGAAAGACAATAAAAGAACATTTCAGGAAGAGAGAGTTTGAGAGTGAAAGAGAAGAAAAGTGAAGAAAGGACAACAAAAAGAACATTCATCAGGAAGAGAGAAGATAATGCCACTAGGAGGGAAGGGGTTACTGAGAGGGAAAGAGAATGAGAAGACTTTAGTGAGGAGAGGTGAAGAGAAAGGACAATAAAAGAACATTCATCAGGAAGAGAGAAGATAATGCCACTAGGAGGCAAGGGGTTACTGAGAGGGAAAGAGAATGAGAAGACTTTAGTGAGGAGAGGTGAAGAGAAAGGACAATAAAAGAACATTCATCAGGAAGAGAGAAGATAATGCCACTAGGAGGGAAGGGGTTACTGAGAGGGAAAGAGAATGAGAAGACTTTAGAGGGTGAAGAGAAAGACTTTAGTGAGGAAGGGGTTTATTGAGAGGGAAAGAGAATGAGAAGACTTTGTGGGGAGAAGAAGAAAGGACAATAAAAGAACATTCATCAGAGGGAAGAGAAAGATTCATAGGAGGCAAGAGACTGAGAGGAAATAACAAGCCACTAGGAGAGGTGAAGAGAAAGGACAATAAAAGGTTACTGAGGAAAGAGGAAGATAAGCCACTAGGAGGAAGGGGTTTGAGAGGGAAAGAGAATGAGAAGACTTTAGTGAGGAAGGGAAGAAAAGGACAATAAAAGAACATTCATCAGGAAGAGAGAAGATAATGCCACTAGGAGGCAAAGGGGTTACTGAGAGGGAAAGAGAATGAGAAGATTTTAGTGAGGGGAGAGAGAGTGAGGAGGTGAAGAAAAGGCTTTACTGAGATAAAGGACAAAAAAAAAAAAGAACATTCATCAGGAAGAGAGAAGAGAAATGCCACTAAGGAGGGAAGGGGTTACTGAGAGGGAAAAAAGAATGAGAAGACTTTGAGAGGGAAGGAAGAGAAGGTGAAGAGAAAGAGACAATAAAAGAACATTCATCAGGAAGAGAGAAGATAATGCCACTAGGAGGCAAGGGGTTACTGAGAGGGAAAGAGAATGAGAAGACTTTTAGTGAGGAGAGGTGAAGAGAAAGGACAAAAAAAAGAACATTCATCAGGAAGAGAGAAGATAATGCCACTAGGAGGCAAGGGGTTACTGAGAGGGAAAAAGAGAATGAGAAGACTTTAGTGAGAGAGAGGTGAAGAGAAAGGACAAAAAAAAGAACAATCAGGAAGAGAGAAGATAATGCCACTAGGAGGCAAGGGGTTACTGAGAGGGAAAGAGAATGAGAAGACTTTTAGTGAGAGAGAGGTGAGAGAAAGGACAATAAAAGAACATTCATCAGGAAGAGAGAAGATAATGCCACTAGGAGGCAAGGGGTTACTGAGAGGGAAAGAGAATGAGAAGACTTTAGTGAGGAGAGGTGAAGAGAAAGGACAATAAAAGAACATTCATCAGGAAGAGAGAAGATAATGAGAGGCAAGGGGTTACTGAGAGGGAAAGAGAATGAAGACTTTTAGGAGGAGAAGTGAAGAGAAAGGACAATAAAAGAACATTATCAGGAAGAGAGAAGATAATGCCACTAAGAGGCAAGGGGTTACTGAGAGGGAAAGAGAATGAGAAGACTTTAGTGAGGAGAGGTGAAGAGAAAGGACAATAAAAGAAACATATATCAGGAAGAGAGAAGATAATGCCACTAGGAGGGAAGGGGGTTACTGAGAGGGAAAGAGAATGAGAAGACTTTAGTGAGGAGAGGTGAAGAGAAAGGACAATAAAAGAACATATCAGGAAGAGAGAAGATAATGCCATAATGCCACTAGAGAGGAAAAAAGAATGAGAAGACTTTTAGTGAGGAGAGGTGAAGAGAAAGGACAATAAAAGAAATTCAGAAGAGAAAGATAATGAGAAGAGGCTTTAGAGGGAAAGAGAATGAGAAGAGAGAGGTGAAGAGAAAGGACAATAAAAGAACATTCATCAGGAAGAGAGAAGATAATGCCACTAGGAGGCAAAAAGGGGTTATTGAGAGAGAAAGAGAATGAGAAGACTTTAGTGAGGAGAGGTGAAGAGAAAGGACAATAAAAGAACATTCATCAGGAAGAGAGAAGATAATGCCACTAGGATACAAGGGGTTACTGAGAGTGAAAGAGAATGAGAAGAATTTAGTAAGGAGAGATGAAGAGAAAGGACAAAAAAAGAACATTCATCAGGAAGAGAGAAGATAATGCCACTAGGAGGGAAGGGGTTACTGAGAGCGAAAGAGAATGAGAAGACTTTAGTGAGGAGGAGACTTGAAGAGAAAGGACAATAAAAAGAACATCTATCAGGAAGAGAGAAGAAAGGACAAATGAGAGGGAAAGAGAATGAGAAGACTTTAGTGAGGAGAGGTGAAGAGAAAGGACAATAAAAGAACATTCATCAGGGAAGAGAGAAGATAATGCCACTAGGAGGCAAGGGGTTACTGAGAGGGAAAGAGAATGAGAAGACTTTTAGTGAGGAGAGGTGAAGAGAAAGGACAATAAAAGAACATTCATCAGGAAGAGAGAAGATAATGCCACTAGGAGAGAAGGGGACTTTTACTGAGAGGGAAAGAAAGAATGAAAAGAACATTCATCAGGAAGAGAGAAGGAGAGGTGAAAAAGGACAACAAAAAGAGGGGGGAGAAAAGAAAGACAATAAAGAGGAACAGAGGGGAAAGAGAAGAGAAGACTTTAATGAGGAGACTGAAGAGAAAGGACAATAAAAGAACATTCATCAGGAAGAGAGAAGATAATGCCACTAAGAGGCAAGGGGTTACTGAGAGGGAAAGAGAATGAGAAGACTTTAGTGAGGAGAGGTGAAGAGAAAGGACAATAAAAGAACATTCATCAGGAAGAGAGAAGATAATGCCACTAAGAGGCAAGGGGTTACTGAGAGGGAAAGAGAATGAGAAGACTTTAGTGAGGAGAGGTGAAGAGAAAGGACAATAAAAGAACATTCATCAGGAAGAGAGAAGATAATGCCACTAGGAGGCAAGGGGTTACTGAGAGGGAAGGAGAATGAGAAGACTTTAGTGAGGAGAGGTGAAGAGAAAGGACAATAAAAGAACATTCATCAGGAAGAGAGAAGATAATGCCACTAGGAGGCAAGGGGTTACTGAAGAAAAGAAATGAGAAGACTTTAGTGAGGAGAGGTGAAGAGAAAAGGACAATAAAAGAACATTCATCAGGAAGAGAGAAGAATAATTTAGATGCAAAGGAGGAGAGGTGAGAGGGAAAGAGAATGAGAAGACTTTTAGTGAGGAGAAGAAAGAGAAAGGACAATAAAAAGAACATTCATCAGGAAGAGAGAAGATAATGCCACTAGGAGGCAAGGGGTTTACTGAGAAGGGAAAGAGAAAGAGAAAGACTTTAGAAGAGAGAAGAGGTGAAGAGAAAGGACAAGAAAAGAACATTAGTGAGGAGAGGAAGAGAGACAATAAAAAGAATAATCAGGAAGAGAGCCACTAGGAGGCAAGGGGTTACTGAGAGGAAAGAGAATGAGAAGACTTTAGTGAGGAGAGGTGAAGAGAAAGGACAATAAAAGAACATTCATCAGAAGAGAGAAGATAATGCCACTAGGAGGAAGGGGTTACTGAGAGGAAAAAGAGAATGAGAAGACTTTAGTGAGGAGAGGTGAAGAGAAAGGACAATAAAAGAACATTCATCAGGAAGAGAGAAGATAATGCCACTAAGAGGCAAGGGGTTACTGAGAGGGAAAGAGAATAAGAAGATTTTAGTGGGGAGAGGTGAAGAGAAAGGACAATAAAAGAACATTCATCAGGAAGAGAGAAGATAATGCCACTAAG